TTTCACACTGATATCTAAAGTACTAATTTCCATTTTAATGAAACTTAGTACAAAGATGCTCTAGGACAATGTACAAACCTAATTACTGTAAAGGGGGTAATTATTCACTGGGTTTTAATTTAGCTTATTTCGCTGACTGGAAAAATGCGCTAAATTAAAACACAGTGAATATGTAAAATTTAGCATAGAACATATTATCTAAATGACGAAACCGTGAATTTAAAACCCACTGAATATGCCTGAAATGGTAAATCAGTGAAATTTAAACCCAGTAAAAATTAGTCATTTTACAGTAGTTTGGGGTCAAACTCTGTTCATATTATTTCCCCAATTAGCATAATAATTCATAATTTTTTGGTTCTAATCACATTTCAATTAAACTTGGTACATAGAGTTTTTGTTACATTGCGCAGACCTCATTAGTTTTACAATCAAATCTGTTCATGTTAATTTTCTGATTTGCATAATTAGTTTTCAGCTAAGTAATTTCAAATTATATTTAATGTGTCTCCAATACTCTCAGCACATGGGAGTTCTTTCTAAGCTTTCTTTGATTTTTATTGTTTCAGTAACCAACTGGTATTATTAGTTATTTCATCTAAAAAAAAATTCTCTTCAAACCTCACAATACTTATCTGATACATACATATACATGTGCTGGGATTTCATGATTCCATAAAAGATAGCCGACTGGAGACTATTTACACTAAAATTGTCTTCTCAAATGTCTAGATCTACATATTGATATGACGCATGTGTGATTCAATTTTCTTCAAACTTGGTGGAAGGATTAACCATTATGGATAGTTGGGGCATGTCACATTGATTTGTAAATTGAATCAAAATGGCTGACTTGCAGCCATTTAGTTTTGAGTAATAAAATACATATACTGTGATTAGTTAAATTAAAATCTGCATAATTAGAAAATTTTTCACTTTACACTGATATCTCAAATACTAATCATCCCATTTCAATGAAACTAGGTATATAGGTGCTCCAGGTCAATGCACAGACCTGCTTAGTTTATATTGATACCTCTAATTTACATAATAATTCATGATTTTTTGGCTTTTCTAATTGCATTTCAATGAAACTTGTTCATAGATGTTCTGTGACTTTTTGGAGATCTTATTAGTTTCACATTAAAATCTTGGTATGTAAATACTTTAAGACATTGCAACAATTTAATTAGTTGTGGGTTTATATATTCTATAATAATTACCTAATTTGCATAATTTACTTTTCTGCTATCCACTAATCTCTCAAAATTTAATTATCACATTATAATGAAACTTAAATAGCAGACGCTAAGCTTCTTGTTTAAAAGGTTAATCTTAAATTTTGAATTAATGTTTAATATGGCTCCAATATTCTCAGCACAGTTCTTTCAAAGTTTTATTTGATTTTGTTGTTCTTCATGTCAACTCAGCTGATACTTTGATGTAATACCCAATATCACTTGTTCATAGAGTGATTTCATGTGATAACCTAACGACTTTTTGCATGTTATGTACACTGCTATTCATTGACATTGAAAACCTTCCTAGTATACTGCCCTCTATAGTCTGGGATTGACTACAAAAATCAAAGCAAAACTTTAATGTAAAATTATACATTATATGAAAGAAAAATCAGCTTAAATTCCTCACAGAGTTTAAGTTGTTTTTCAGATCACCATTAATTGATATCTTAGTAGTTACTGATTGCACATATTTATTGTCCTTGTAATTACAAATTGTTTACATTCAAAAGTGACATTATCAGAATAAAAGTTGACATACAATAATGATTCATTCGTTGTAAATTACAATTGTATAATTTGCTGAGATTGTTTCACTCTACAAACACTTTGATGCATTTATTGGCATTATCCACTACAGCTATTTTACCATCATTGCATACTGTGATACCATATGGATAATTCAAACTGTCCATATCACTGTCAATCCTACAAATAAACTGACCATAGCTGTCATACTTAGTAACTCTGTGATTACTACTCACATAGACATAATCATTCTTATCTATGGCTACTGCCTTTGGACGACTTATTATGCCATCATCAGTGTAGGAGAACTCAAACATAAACTGGTCATAAGAATTGAATACTTGGATCCGATTGTTGTTCCAATCTGGCACATACAACACCCCTTTACTATTAATAGCTAACAAGTAAGGTCTAATGAACTCTCCCTGCTTTTCTCCACTTCTCCCAAATGACTTAATATACACCCCAGCCTGGGTATACTTTCTAATGCAATTCACATTATATTCACTAACATACACATTCTTATTAACTGGATTAATTGCAATTCCACATGGCGCTTTAATTTCAGAGCTTCCAAACTTTCTAATCAACTTTCCATATTCATCACTTACAACTACTTGTTTGTTATTTTTATCTGTCATAAAGTATTCATTATCATCTGATATTGCTACATCACATGGACTGAATGGCTCTGCAAACTGATCAGTGAATGTAATTGATTGTTTGTAAATGCCGTCTCTGTCATGGATGGTTACTCTGTCGTTCCATGAATCAGCAGTGACAAAGTCACTGTGTTTGTTGGTAGTTAACCCTGTAAGATTTAGGACATCACCTTTACTACCTGTTATTCCCACTGTCTGTACTAATCCTCTGATAACAGGAATATGGAATGGTGATCCTGGTATATTTTGATTACCAATCGTCATGGCAACTTGCTGTTTTTCTTCTCCCTTTACATCTATCATCACATGATAAGTCCCATCGTAATTGTCTCTAGCATCTTTGTTTTCCCATGATGCATCTGGGCACCTTGTCCTTATCTTGACGGGGAATGATTTGCTTTCCTCTGGAATTTCTGGTCGTGATGAGCAGGTTTACAGATTTACCTTTCATGAGTTGTTTTGGAATGTTGTCAACTGTGCACCTAGATGGACAGGCATCAGATTTAATCACCCCAATCAATGCATGTGCAGCAAGGTCACTTCCAGGCTGGAACTCAATGATATCATATCTGAGTGGTGCTTTTGTTTCCATAGCTACCATCTCTTTTATGCGATTTTCAGTTTCAGTTCTAGTAGAAAGTAGGTGCACAGAATTCCCATGATGCACTAGTGTATTTACTTAATCATGTGTACTGCATATGTTGCTATGGTGAAATTCCATCTCATCAATGTGCATTGCTGCATCCTTTAATTCCATCATAGAACTTTCATTCAAGGCATCTATCAGCATCTTCTCTTCTCTCTTCACTCTCTCTATCACTTCCTTTGCTCTGCTTTCAACTTTAACTTTTTCTGCCTCAAACAGGTTTTTGATTTCTTCACTTGTAGCTTCAGCTGCTGCTTTTTCTTTCTTCATTTGTTTGTCTTTCATTTTTAACTGTTTTAACATATCCCTCAGTTGTGTTTTATACTCATCTGCCACCTTTTGTAAGTCTCTATGGATGTGTTCAGGAACTCTATGATTAACTATGGTGCAGTCACTGCAAACCGGTACTTTACAAGTGTCACAGTAGAATTTCAGCTGACTGTCTTTATGATCATTGCAGAAAACTTTAGACTGCTCGATGACATGACCCTGAGATTCTGAATCTCTGTACTTGTCAATTGTCAGCACTTTGTGAGAGTAGAGTGCTGGGGTGTATCTATGAGCTTTAACACATACATCACAAGTAAACTGAGGACAGTCTACACACCTGTGAGTTGCTGTGATCTCTTGACATATCTCACACACTGGTGGTGGATTGTCAACACAAAGCTGCCTCTGTCTATGGAACGTGTCAAGTAGACTTGTTAAAAAAAAGTTTGATTTCAGTTCCTGGATGGGTGTGTCACACTGAATTCTGCATGTTGCACACTTCAAAACACCTCCTGATTTGGCTTTAAAAGTCACCAGACATTGCTCACAGAATGTATGAAGACATGGTAGGACTTTAGGATTCTTGTAGATCTCCAAACAGATTGAACAGCTGAGGAAATCCTCACCAATTTCCTCTGCAAATGATTTGGATGTGACAGATGCTCTAGCCATGGTAGACAAAATCATCCAACTGCTGTAAAAACTGAGCTCCTTAGCGTAGTGTGATTTTGCAATATGTATTTCCTTATTATCAGTGCTCACAATGGTGAGATGACAAGTTGGTTTTAATGCTTTTAAAACTGTTGTCAGTCTGTTTACAGTATTCAACTTTTGGATTCATGCCAAATACCACACACATTTCTTTTTGCCCTTTTTTGACCCTTTTCTTCTCAACTTTGACAGAACTCTGCAGCAGCGTCCACTTTGTTAGTCCCCGTTCGGACGCAGTCCAAAAACGGAGACTTATGTTTTGCCCTGTGTGCGTCCGTCCGTGCGTCCGTG